AGCTTCAGAGAAACCCTGTCTTGAAAAAAAGAATGCTCAGTGCTTTCCCAGGTGACTTGAAGTCAGTTTGCTGGTGGCTCACAACTTCGTGTAACTCCAGCTCCAGAGTATCTTACATCCTCTTCTGGACTCCACAGGCAATGTACTCATGTGCACACAGCTACAACATACACACTCACACATTTAAAAATTAAAATGAAGCTTTTTTTAAAAAAAGAAAAAAGTTGTGGTATATCCACATTATAAGATAATAGTACTCAGTGACAAAAAAAGGAAAGAAAGAAAAGAAAAATTGCTCAGCTAAAAAAAAAAAAGAAAAACATGTGGGAAAAGTTGAATGCAATGGCACACACCTTTGATCCTAACACTCTGGAGGCAGAGGGAGGATCTCTGTGAGTCTAAGACCAGCTTGGTCTACACATCAAGTACCAGGCCTACCAAAGCTCCCTGTTTCAAAAAGACAAAACAAAGCAAACAAAAGGTATGGAGGAGATGGTTAATATTGCTTGCCAACTTGGAAGGGTGAAGAGCAAAGTAGGAAACTGACCTCTGAACATGTCTATAAGGAATTCTCTAGATTATTAATTGAAATGACAAGACCTACTCTAAATATGGGCAGCACCATCCTATGGCCTGGGGTCCCACACTGAATAAAAGGAGAAAGTAAACTGAACACGGCACTCATCTCTCTCTGCCCTGACTGCAGATGCAATGTGGCCTGCAGCCTCAAGCTCCTGCAGTGGGCCTTCCCCACTACAAAGAACTGTATCTGCAAACGGTGAGCCCAAAATCACTCCTTCCCTAAGCTGCTTCACTCAGGTATTTTGTTGTAACCACAACATGTAACAAGCACAGCTCTTAGACATGTATCTCTGTGAGAGTAAAACAATCCAGAAAAGCTGCATTTGATTCTATTTATATGACAGTTTAGAGAAGGAAAAATTATATAGTCATTAACTGATGGCAGAGGTTTGTGCACTGACACAAAGAATCGTGTAGGACACTGAAACTACAGTCTTATACTGTAATGAAGAGTACAGAGCATTAAGCACTGTTTAAAATCCACTGCTGAAAATTTAATAGCTCAAAAAATAAACCTGAATATGCACATATACTAAAAAAATAATAATAATTGAGGTGGTCAGGAGATCCCAGAATGAACTGCAGAATGCAATTTGTCCAGAAGAACCAAGGTCTCCTTCAAGCTTCTTTGTGCTCCAGGCACAAACAAACATTCAGGCAAAACACTCACACACCAGCTGGGTGGTGGTGGTACACGACTTTAACCTCAGCACTGGGGAGGCAGAGGTAGATGGATCTCTGTGAGTTCGAGACCAGCCTGGTCTACAAGAGCTAGTTCCAGGAGAGCCTCCAAAGTCACAGAGAAACGCTGTCTTGAAAAACCAAAATAAATAAATAAATAATATTTTTTCCCAAAGTGTGAAACATCACTGAATGGCATTTCAGAAGAGTAGAGTGCTGGTCTGTGGAATATGGATATGAGTGGCACCTGCAAGCATACATACGAAAAGATCTATACCAAAAAACTGTTTTCTAGGTGCTAGGGAGATGGCTCAGGGGTTAACAGCGCTTGCTGCTCTTATAAAATCAAACCTATATTTGATTCCCAGCATCCACAATGAGAGGTTTGCGATCTATCACCTGTAACTCTAGTTCCAAGGGATCCAGTGCCCACTCCTGGCCTCTGCAGCCACTAGACACACATGCGCGCGCGCGCGCGCGTGTGCACGCGCGCGCGCACACACACACACACACACAGATGCATATTTATACAAGTAACTTAAAGTAAAAATACAGTATTTTTAAAAATGGAAAGACTTCTCAATGAAATGAGTATGTCAAAGGAACAGTATGAGTATGACTGGAAGTCTCTGATGGCCATGGTTGGTACAACCTGAACAATAAGATAAATAAAAGAACAACAGATTAAAACTCATCCTATAAAAGGAGTTAAGCATGAAGGTTTAGCCACATGGGTGCAAAGCTGCTCTAAGGCTTCCAGCTATTGATGAGTCAGTCATCATTACCAAAACAGACTCTTCAACAATCAAAAAGCAACTGGCCTTCAAACTATAAATTGCACTTTCTTCTCTAGCTTCCATGTCACCTTGAGTATGAGCAAAAGAGAAGCAGGATATAGAATGACAGGAAACCAGAGTTCATATAATTAACATATGTGTGTTCTTTCTACTTCAGAGCTTCCCCCCCCCCCCCGCCCCCAGACAGGGTTTCTCTGTATAGCCCCAGTTTTCCTGGAACTCACTTTGTGGACAGGCTAGTCTTGAACTCAGAGATCAACCTGCCTCTGCCTCCCAAGTCCAGCTACTTCAGAACGTTAAAAAAAATAGTTTATTTATTTATATTTTAAGTACGTCAGTATGTCTGTATGAGGGCATTGAATCCCCTGGAACAGAGTTATAGACAGTTCTAAGCTGCCATGTAGGTGCTGGGAGTTGAACTCGGGTCCTCTGGAAGAGGATCCAGTGCTCTTAACCACTGGGCCATCTCTCCAGCCCTCTACTTCAGAACTTTTAACTGTAGTAATATTATATTTAAAAAACATCATTTCTACTCACCACTACAGAGAATATTAGTGGCTCTAAAGTATGTTCTTAGATTATACATTCTACAAGCTTCTGTTTTGTTTTGTTTTTGTTTTTGTTTTTTTTTTTACAGAACTCATCTGTAAAGGTGAGGATTCTTTTTTCTTAATTAGCATTATCAGTTAGGATGTAACATCACAAATCTTATGAAGCCCAACAGATAGAAAAGAAATACTCTTCAAGAAATTGGGAAGATGCCTCAGAGGCTAAAGTGCTTATAGTACAAGCACGAGTACCCGAGTTCAGATCCACAGAAATTGTATACAAGCTGGGCAGACACTGGTCAGCCTGCCTGTAATCCTGGAGGCAGAGAAGGAATCTCCAGGGCAAGCAGACCAGCTAATGTAGGTGAATCTGTGAGCTCCGGGTTCAGCAAGAGACCCTGTATCAATATATAAAGGGGCAAGCAATCTAGGGATATACCTGTTGTCAACTTCTGCCTCTATGTGAATGTATGTACATGTATGTGCAATGCTCCAAACACATATGAACATGCATATACACATTCCTGCATAACACACACACACACACATACACACACACACACACACACACACACATCAATATTTTTTCACACACACACACGAAACAATAAGAAAAAGATTCATCTTTTAAAAGCTACAGAAAAGAAAGAAGCAATTACGACAAATTAAAATGGAGGTTCATTTTTAAAAAGTATTGTGGAATTATTAAATTTCTTTAAAATTCATTGTACTAGGGCTGGGGATGTTGGTGAATGGTAGAGCACTGGCCTAGCATGCATAAGTACCCAAGGTAAATAACCAGAACACACACACACACACACACACACACACACACACACACACACACACACACACACAAAGAGAGAGAGAGAGAGAGAGAGAGAGAGAGAGAGAGAGAGAGAGAGAGGAGAGAGAGAGGAGAGAGAGAAAGACAGAGAGACAGAAAGAGAGACAGAATACAAATAATCTCATTAAATAATTATGGTTTGGGGGGCTGAAGAAATGGCTCAGTGGTGTAGAGCACTGGCTGCTCTTCCAGCACCGTGGCAATTCATAACTGTCTGGAGACCTAATGCCATCTTCTGGCCTCCACAGGCACCAGGTACAAATTTGGTACAAACATACATTCAGAAAAATATTCAAATAAAAAAATAAAAATTTTCAAAAATGTTTGAAAGAAGACAAAACAGCTAGCATGAAAAGTGCTGTGAAACTGGAAATAAGAAAGAACAAAACAGCTCATGTTAGGAAAAGACTACCAGGTTAAGAGTTCATAATTAATTCTGTAAACAGGCTAATATCCACTGAGAACACTGGAGAGTGGGGTAGTTGAGAAACTGACCAAATGTTTGTCTTACTCCATGGAAAACTTTCCATAGTATACATATGTGTGTGTGTATGTATGTATGTATGTATATATGTATGTATGTTCAAATCTCTGTGCCATCAAAGTGAAGGCTAATCTGGTGGCTTGAGTGAGAAAGTCTTCCCATAGGGTCATATATGTGAACAACTGATTGTAGTGCTGTTTGGAAAGGTGATGCTAGAGGAAGTACAACACTAGGGCCAGCTTTGGGGTTTTTATAACCTAGCCTCACTTTCTGTTATCTATTTCCTGTGTGCAGATGAAATGGAATCAACCAACTAGCTTTCTGCTCCTACCACACCTCCACTACCTGTTACTATGTCTTTGCTGGGCCTGATATACTTGACCCTTTGAAACTATAAGTCCAAATAGACCCCTGTGTCCTCTAACTTGCCTCTGGTCATGATACTTTATCACAAAATGGGAAAGTTACTACTGCAGCCAAGGTCCAAAGCATACTGTAGCTGTGACCTCTTCCAAGGACTTTCTTGTGAAGACTTAGCATAGTGTTAACTTTGTATTTTAGTGGACAAAACTGGTTGTATTTGAAAGTTTATACACAGCTGGGCGTTGGTGGTGCATGCCTTTAATCCCAGCACTCAGGAGACCGAGGCAGGCCGATCTCTGTGAGTTCGAGACCAGCCTGGTCTACAAGTGCTAGTTCCAGGAAGCCTCCAAAGCTAAAGAGACACCCTGTCTCAACCCCCCCCAAAAAAAGACAGTTAATACACAACACATACAATTATATGTACTGTACATAGAAGTATTTAGGAGGAAATGGCTATTATACACGTAAATTTATTTCTGTTTGTGTTTCCCCCACTACACAGATAGGTTTATGAGAAAACACAGGCAGATAAACAAACAAAAGAAGAAGAGGAGGAAGAGGAGGAGGGGGAGGAAGAGGAGGAGGGGGGAGGAAGAGGAGGAGGAGGAGGAGGAGAAGAAGGAGAAGAAGAAGAAGAAGAAGAAGAAGAAGAAGAAGAAAGTAAACACTAGTTTTAGAAAAGGCTGTAAGGTACTCACTTCATCAGCCACCATACACCTGGATAAAAAGAAAAACACAATAACAAATTAATTTATTAATCATCAAAGGAAAGAATGCTCAGAGTTCTGATTAAATAACCTACCACAGAACACTTTACGAAGGCTAAAGGATTAAGCTAGAGAGGTGTCTGTAAGGGCATGAGAACACAGGCAGTGATGATTTCAACCCTATAGCTGCCAATGACATGGTCTATGTTGGAGGGTCAGTGCTTCAGATAAGTTATTACCACTGCTCACCATGCAGGGAACTGCAAAGACTTGCGAGGACCAAGCAAGATGGCAAGAGATTGTGAAGAATGCCTTCTGCCTCCATTCTTAAACTGTAAGCCTGACTGTTCCTATAGTTGAGAATGATTATTAAGGAACAGTGTGGTGGCACATGCCTTTAATTCCAGCACTCTGGAGGAAAGGCAAGTGGACCTCTGAGTTCAAGGGCAGCCTAGTCTACATAGTGTACTCCAAGACAGCCAGAGCTACATAGTGAGACTGACTCAACTAATTAATTAATTAATTAAATGAACAAGAAATGAAGGACTTCATTTCTGTTTCTGTAATAAAGTGCCCTGGCAATTTTAGTACAGTCCACCAAGCACAGAATCAAGGAGATAAGAACTCAAAACAGCCACATCTCATCTATAGGCAAGAGCAGAAAGGTATTAAAGTATGTATGCTTCCTACTCATCTAGCTTCCTCTCACAGTCCAGGACACCAAACTAGGAGACAATGCTGCCCACTTTCAGGCTGGGTCCTCTCACATCAATGAAAGCAATACAACAAACACCCACAGTCAGGTCCACAGGCCAACCTGATCTAGACTCACAGAGACTCTCTCCAGGTGATTCTAGATGTATCTAGTTGATGAAACTAACTATTACACTGATTAGCAACCACATTTTGGCTGAAATCTGATATCTAATTTTATGTGCTACATCTAAGTATATGTGGTATACTTAAGTCTATTGTTGAGGTGAATCTGATATCTGTTATTCTGCTAACTTCTCTCTACTTTATTCTTCCGTGGGGGTTCCAGTCATGGAAGGTCTCATAAGTGATGGCATGAAGACTGGACAGTCTTATGATCCTTTGAAAGGAAGCAAAGTATTATTATTTTTTAAAAAAAATTACTCTAGGGGCTGGAGAGATGCTTAGCTGTTAAGAGCACTGGCTGCTCTAGCAAAGACTGTGGTTCAGCTCCTAGCACCCATATGGTGGCTCACAAAAGGCTGTAACTTCAGTTCTAGGAGTCTGGCATCTCCTTCTGGCCTGCATGAGTTTCTGCACTCATATAAATTCAAGCAAGCACATATACGAAGGTATAAAGATAATATTAAAAATGAACAAATAATTTTAAGATATTACTCTAAGCCAGGTATCATGGCACACATCTTTAATCCCAGCACTTGGGAGGCAGCCTGGTCTACCTGGTAAATTCCTGGCAAGTCAGCATTAGTAGTGAGACCTTGTCTCAAAACAAAACAAACCCTCTCAACTGGATGTGTTGACTCATATCTGTAAATCCAGCACTTGAGAGGTGGAAGCAAATAGGATAAGCTACACAGAGAATTCAAGGTCACCCTGTACACCATGATACCCTGTCTTTGTTTCGGTTTTTTTTTTTTTTTTTTTTTTTTTTTTTTTTTTTTTTTGAGACAGGGTTTCTCTGTACAACCCTGACTATCCTGGGACTTGCTTTGTAGACCAGGGTAGTCTCAAACTCAGATCTGCCTGCCTCTGCCTCTCAAGTGCTAGAATTAAAAGTGTGCACCACCAACAAAGACCAGCTGACAACCTATCTTAAAAATAAAAAATAAACCAGAAAAGATTATCCAAGACAAGAGAAGTACAGAAAGTTGTTAAGGACATCTGAAGAGAAGCAATGGTATGGATGAGGGATGGGGTGAAGGTGGAGTAGACGCTGCTGTGGGGGTGGTAGAGAGGGAGGTGAGGAGGGGTGGCTGAAGTAATGCACATTTTGAAAGTAGAGCCAGTAAAATTAGCTGATCAGTTGGAATGTGGACTAGTAAAAATAGGTAAGAAAGACAGATCAAGAATAAATCAAGCTGATGTGGTAGACTTTGGGGAGCCCCTTTTGAGGGCCTTACCCTGCCTGGGGAGTGGACGGGGGATGGCTAGGGGCAGGTGGGATGTGGGGGGGGAGAGGGAGAGGGAGAAGGGATTGACATGTGAAGCAAGCTTGTTCCTAATTTGAACTAATAATAATAATAAAAAAAGAATAAATCAAGCAATCAAATGTGAAAACTGGTGGTTGTGCCAAGCAGTACTAGAAACTGAGTATTCAAAATAACCTGACTGTAGCTTATTCTTCTCTGTGCTCAACTTCAAGTTTCTTTTTTTTAAATAAAGATTTATTTATTAATTATGTATACAGTGTTCTGCTTGCATGTAGGCCTTCAGCCAGAAGAGGACTCTAGATCTCATTGTAGATGGTTGTGAGCCACATGTGGTTGCTGGGAATTGAACATAGGTCCTCTAGAAGAGCAGTCGGTGCTCTTTTTGTTTGTTTGTTTTGTTGTTGTTTTTTAAATTAATTTATTTGTTACATTCCAATCCCAGTTCCTCTTTCTTCCTCTCCTCCTGCTGTACCCACTCCCCACCCCCATCTCCCTTCTGCTCCATGGAAATGGTAAGGTCTCCTCTAGGAAGTCTACTAAGTCTGTCCCATCATCTTGTTAAGGCAGGAACAAGGCACCTCTCCACCACCCACACACACCCCTGTGTCTAGGCTGAGCAAGGTATCTCTCCTTATATAATGGGCTCCACTATTCAGTTTGTGCATTAGTGTTAGATCTTCAACCCATTGCCAGTGGCCTCATATATTGTCCCAGTCACACCATTGTCACCTATATTAAGGGAGTCTGGTTTGGTCTTATGAAGGTTCCCCATTTGTCAGATGGGAGCCAGTGATCTCTCACTAGCTAGGGTCAGTTGTTTCTGTGAGTTTCTCCACCTCTAAAAAGTTAAAAATTTGTGCACACACTCGGGCTAGTGGGTGAGATTTAGGCTATGGTCAGGGACCTTCAGAGAAAGCAGTAAGCTGCTAACTTTCAGATCACATGGCTGGAATAGCTGGGCTTTGAGGTATATCAAGACCTTCCCAGTAACATCAACTTAAATCCTTCTGAAAATGCAACGTTTTTTCTAATAAGAGGAGAGATCTCCCCTGCTTTGGGAAGTAAGAGAATCTATGTAGATTAGAGAACATCAGCAACACAGCTAACTGCTCTTAAAACTTTAGCCACAAAGCATGTTTTGACCCCCTAGGAATTTTTTGCATTGTTTTGCTTTATTGTTGTGTGTTTTGTTGTTTTGAGACAGGATCTTATAGAATAGTCTTGGCTAGTCTGGAACTATGTACCCCATCCTGGTCTCAAACTCATAGTGATTCTCCTGCCTCAGACTCCCAAGTATTGGAATTACAGGCATGACACTTGGCCAAATTCTGGAACTCTTACTATTAAAGATAGTTCAACAACCATACTTGATCCCCACCTAGTCATTATCAAAAAACAGCTGTCCATGAGAGAAGCCCCATATTCAAGTGAGGGGAGTAAGAGTGAAATCAACACATATCTAGAAGAAAAATGAAAGGTATGGGGGAATCTGCATAAAGCTGTGAGACAAATAAAGAATTTTTTAATTACACACATGCCTCTAAAAGCTTAAAAGCATGGTTTTCAAACCAAATAACATTCACTTTTTTTCAATAAAATATTTTATTATTGTACATCACTAAACACCAAAATTGGTGCTATACTCCAGGATCTTGTGTTGGCAACTTGGGTGAATCAGGTTTTACTCATCAGCCTGCTGCACTGTTTCTTTTTCAGAAACATAGATAACATCCAAATTTTTTCCAGCCTCCTATTTTTTAGCTGCTGTAGCTTGCTGAGTGAGTAAACTGAAATCAAAACAAGTTCAGTATCATTTCCTCTAAGTATCAACTCATCTTTCTGGGCTAATGCACTGAACAAGCAGTATCTGTCGTCATCCAAACCCCGTGGATCTATTTTTCACCCAGGAAACTTCAGATATCATGGAACTTCTGAATAACAATGCTGATGGGAAAGTGAATGGACACAGAACCCCATCTTGTAGCAGAGCACACTGTAACACTCCCAATCATGTTCATGACTACAGGTAGTGCAAATCAGCAGTCGTTTCTATTTCCCAACATTTGTGAATCCAGAGACAGAACTTTTTCTTTCCCAGGAGCCTGAGTTCCACACTGAGCTGATTCAAGTCCACCAGGGCGCAGAAGAGTGGAGAATGAAGACAGCATCATCAAGATTAACTTAAGAGCACTTGCTGCTCTACCATGAGGACTGAAGTCAGACCACATCACCCACGTCAGACAGCTTACAAATACCTGTAACTCCAGCTCCAAGAGATCCCTTGCCTTCTCCCAGCATTCATGGGCACCCAGACTCACATACATGCTTTTTGTTTTTGAAGACTGACATACGAAAGAAGGCAGCTGAAATAAGGACTGGAGACCTTCCCCACATGGGTACATGAGACAGAGAATGCACTAAAAGGCTATACCTATAAAACATAGGAGAGGGTAGATGCTATTTAAATGATCTGTAAAGGGTCATCCACATCACTGCACAGCATTTTTGAGCATATGCCTTTCCCTGACTCAATGTCCACATTCTCAGGAGTATCTGTGTCTGTTACCTTACCATTTGTCCTTGGTTTGATTCTTTGTCCTGGGACACAAGAACCTGGAAATCTCAGTGTGTGACCTCCAAGCTCAGGCCTGCAGTGATTAACACCTGCATGGGTGATGATGCAAGAAAGCTGAATATAGCAATCTTCTGCATTGGGAGCATTTGTGCTACTTGAGGAGTCTTCTCTCCCCAGCTATTGTTACTTTTTATCTAACCTAGTAGGAAGAACATTGTAAATCCTCTAAGTTTCTCCTTAGATTTATTTACTTCTTGAGCTTTGTAAGTTTCCTTTACTTTTAAGGAGCCT